TGGATTTGATGCCGAATAGAGTCAATTTTATTTTAAAAGGGCCTCCTTTATTCCAGTCGTACTCAGATTTTCTTTTTTCGTTTTACTTGAAGGTTATCTTCCAAATGCTATCATAGACCCCCAATATAGATTACTTTTCCTTACAATGGCCATAATATAAAGGGATTACGTGCGTAGAATGTCACAATGCATTCAGTTAAATAGATAATGGCACAGTCGTGATTTAGATCAATTTCACTAAAGCAGACAGCAAAGATACTGACCATGAAATCTGTGATGTTGAAGAGGAGTCGTTTTTTATTCAGTTAATCAGTTAAGTGGTTGATTTTATTTAAGTTTTATATATTTGATGTGCATGGTATCTTTTCTATTTTAACATTATTTTCTGTAGTTAGTGAAAGGTAGTTCATTTTACGTATCAGGTGTTATTGAAAGTTCCTCCTTTTAAGCTTAACATTACGAAGGGCTTAGATGAGGTATTCAGCGAGGTGGCTAGTAGATTTAAAGAAGTGATTACACAGCAGGATCAGTCAAGTAGATGGGTTACTATCAGGAAGGGCAAGAAGATAGTTCAAAATTCTCCTGTGGCCATTCCCCTATCAAATTGAAATTCAATTTTGGAAGTGATGAAGGGGATAGTCTCTCCAAGGAAAATGGAAAGGGCAGTCAGTTATTGTACCCTTAGAATGATTCTTATGGTAAGCAGCGTTTGACAATATTTATTAGAATTGTTGTTATAGGGGACTGTCCTGTCTGGGCATAGGCAGGAGAATCTGTGGCAGTGATTGTAAATTTAGGATGGTTTGTTGCTTTCCTGATGCTAGGATTAAGGACGTTTCTAACCGTTTTAAGCATACTGTTAAAAGTGAGATTGAGAACCAGAAATTGTTATGCACAATGGAAGGAATGACATTTTTACGGAAAAGATTAAATCAGTTTAGAGTGAATTTAAGATAGGAGAAAAAAAACCCTTAGACATAGTAATTCCTGGTTTACTCCTAATGCCAAACTCAAATTAGGGAAGAAATAAAAGGATTAAATCAACGGCTGAAGAACTGGTGTGTTGTTCAAGGATTCAGGTTTTTTGGTCAATTGGAATGTCTTTTGGGATAGAAAAGACCTGTTCAGAAAGGATGGAAAGGGAAAGAATATCTTAGCAGGGAGATTTTCTCGTTCCATAAAGGAGACTTTATACTGATAGAGAGGTGGAATGGGGGAATTCTAAATATTAGTTTAAATAGAAGGATTGATGGGGAAGGTTCAGAAATTGAAGAGAGCATGTCAATTAGAGTATGTAGTAACTTTGAAGAAGGGAATTGCATTTATTTCAATACACGTCTTACAGGTAAGGCTGATGAACTCAGGGCATGTTTAAGAACATAGGATTCGGATGTTATGGTTATTATAGAACTTGGCTGAGAGATGGACAAGACTGGCAGCTCAATGTTCCAGGTTTTAGATGCAATAGAGAGGATAGGAAACGAGGCAAGAAAGAGAAGTGGGCGCTTTTGATTAAGAAATACATTACTGCTGTAACTAGAGAGCATATTTCTGAAAAATTGTCGAGTGAAAATATATAGGTAGAAATTAGAAATAAGAAAGGAAAGATCACTTTGATGGGATTGTACTATAGGACCCTCAGTAGTGAGACGGAAATTGGGAAACAAATATGTAAGGAGATCTCAGATCTATCTAAGTATTTTAAGGTTGTGATAATGAGGATTTTAATTTTCCAAACATTGACTGACACTAGCGTAGTGTTAAAGCGGTTTTCATGGTGAAGAATTTGTCAAATAACATTTTTCTTTATCAATATGTGGATGATCCTACTGGAAAAGGAGCAAAACTAGACCTTTTGTGCAATAAGGCAGGGCAACTGACTGAAGTAAAAGTGGGAGAACTCTTTGGGTCGAGCGATCATAATTCTATTCATTTCAAAATGGTTATGGAAAAGGATAAACCCATAAAAGTTAAAGGTTTTTAATTAGAGTAAGGCAAATTTTGATGGCATGCCCAAGAACTTTCAAAAGTTGATTGGAGTAGACTGTTCGCAGGTAAAAGGACGTCTGACAAGTGGGAAGGGTTCAAGAGTGTGGTGTCGAGAGTTCAGACACATTATGTTCCTGGTAGAGCGAAAGGTAAGGCTGGAAAGATTAAGGAACAATAGATGAATAAAGGCATTGAGGTTCTAGTCATAAATAAAAGAGTATCATTTTTTAGATATGGACAACTTGGTTCAATTGAATCGCTTAATCAATATAAAGAGTATAGGGGAATTCTTAGGAAAGAAATCAGGAAGGCGAAGAGAGAATATGACATACCATTGGCAGATAAGGCTAAGGATAATCCAAACATATTAAGACCAGGAGGATAACTAGAGAGAGGTTAGGACCTCTTAAAGATCAAGGGGGTCATCTTTGTGTTGAGCCCTCGAAGATGGGAGAGATAATAAATGAATATTTCGCATCAGTTTTTACTTTGGCGAAAGAAATGGAGACTAGAAAATGATGTTTTTAAGACATTTAACATTAAAGAAGAGGAAGTTTGGGAGGTCTTTGAGAATATAAAGGTGGGTAAATCTCTGGAACCTGATGTAATGTGTCCAAGAATGTTATGGGAAGTAAGGGAGCAAATTGCGAGACCCCTTGCAGAAATATCTGCATTATCTATAGCTACGGGTAAGTCTGTGATGACTGGCGGGTGGCTAGTGTTGCACCGTTGTTTAAGAGAGTTTGTAGGGAGAAACTGGAGAACTATAGGCCTGTGAGTCTGACTTCAGTTATGGGTAATTTGTTGGAGGTCATTATAAAAGATAGGATTTATGGACGTTTAGAGAGGCAAAAATTGATTTGGGATAGTCGGTATGATTTTATGCGAGGAAAATCGTGTCTCACAAACTTGACTGAGTTTTTTTGAGGAAGTTATCAAAAGGATGATAATGGCAGTGCAGTAGATGCTGTTTATTTGGATTTTAGTAAAGCCTTTGATAAGGGTCTGCACAGTAGACTAATTAGTAAGGTTAAACTATTTGAGATTCAGGGCTAGCTTGCTAGTTGGATACATAACTAGCTTAATGGCCCGACGGAGAGTAATGGTGGAGGGTTGCTTTTCAGGCTGGAGGCCTGTCATCAACAGTGTTCCACAGGGATCGGTTCTGGGTCCTCTTTTGTTTGTCATTTATATAAATGATTTGGATTAGAATTTAGAAAGCAAGGTTAGTAAGTTTGCAGAAGACACCAAAATTAGTGATGTAGTAGACAGTGAAGAAGGTTTTCCAAGATTACACAGGGATCTAAATGGGTCAATAGGCTGAAAAATGGCAGATAGAGCTCAATCTGGATAAATGTGAGGTATTGCATTTTGGTACAACAAACAAGGGTAGGGCTTATACAATTAATGGAAAGGCCTTGAGTAATGGTATAGAACAGATGGACCTAAGGCTGCAGGTAAATAATTCTTTGAAGTTTGTTTCACATATAGACAGGGTAGTTAAAAAGGTGTTTGGCACCTTTGCTCAGTCCTTTGAGTACAGGAATTGGAAAATCATGTTGAGGTTGTGCAGGACATTGGTGAAGCCTCTCCTGGAATACTGTGTCCAGTTTTGGTCGCCCATTTATTAGAAGGACATTATTAAGCTGGAGAGGGTTCATAAGTGATTACCAGGACGTTGACGGGTATGGAATGTTTGAGTTATAAAGAAAGGCTGGATCGGCTGAGACTTCTTTTCACTCGAGAGTGGGTGTTTGAGAGGCAATCTGATAAAAGTTTAGAAAATAATGAGAGGTGTAGATAGAGTCTTTTCCCCAGGATGAGTGATTTCAAGACCCGGGGGCACATTTTTTTTAAGGTGAGAGGAAAGAGATTTAAAAAAGACATAAGGCATTTTTTGACACATTTTTTCACTTGTGGAATGAACTTCTTGAGGAAGTGGTGGATCCGTGTACAATTACAACGTTTAAAGGACGTTTGGATAAGTACGTGAATAGGAATGTTTTGGAGGGCCACGTGCCAGAAGCAGGCAGGTGGAACTAGTTTGGTTTGGGATTATGTTCGGCATAAGTTGGGCCGAAAGGTGATGTACGCTTCTATGATTCTATGACTACGACTCCATTAACTTTCTGGTGCATACCAACTGAAATGTTTAATGCAGTTGCACATTATCTATTCATGGCCAACCCTACTTGTATAGTTCACATATTAATCCAGGCGTCAAACCAGTACTTACAACAGTCTCACCACACTTAGGCGATTGAATTGACACGAGGCAGGTTCCTATCGTAATGTAAATTCAAAGCTGCCGAAATAGGCAAATTTCCACTTCTCCCATTTTCTTGCGAGTGACATTTTGGGCAATGTATACAGACTTGTGCAAAATCAGTTTCCTTTGTCAGTGTTACTAAATCACGCAAGTATGATACTGCAGCTTGGATTTAGTCAACCCAGCATCTGCACAACGGGTGCAGAAGCAAACGCGCAATAAATTAAAATAAACAAGAAATAATAGAAATATTCAGCAGACCACATGCTCACTGCCTGTAAATCAGTACACTGCAGAATATTTCTTATTTTTTTTTCTGTTGTTTTCCTTTCTGCCTCGCCCTTTCCCTATATTGTGCGCCTCACTTCCCCTCTCTCACCTGTCAGTAGTGAAACGATTTGATGTCCCCCTGGAAAGATTCCATTGAGCCCAACCTGAGAACCACTGACTGACTCTTCTCAAACGCCGTCATGTAGCGCCAGCTTCCGTCTATAGGGCAACATTACACGCAGGTAGGTCTTCTAGTTCTTGCAGTTCATAGCTCATTCTACCCAGCAAGTCGCTGTCTACAATTGAGCTTCTATTTATTTCTTTTCTCCAGCCCTACAAGAGCACCTTGATTATCTTTCAGTTCCCAGTTCCGTTACAGGGTTTCTTCTCGGCATGTTAACCTGATTTCTCTCTCTACCTGTGACGGAGACCTACCCCCATCAGTTGGCAAGAGGCAGTGGGACTGGTGAAATTATGGGATGGATCTGTCAGTGCCCTTTAGTCCGCAGATTGTCAGCGGGGTGGAGTTACTCCCGTCCTCGTTCCATCCCGGACTGAAGATGGGAAATATTCTCTCAGTGAAAGTGTGAGTGAAAGTGTGGAGATGCGACATGTTGTCCGCATTGTAAAATGACACCTGTCCACCCTCATAGTCCAGGAAAACCCCGATCTTCCGGGGATTCACACTCAAAATGAGGGGAGTCAATAAGGGAGATGTGACGGCAAAATAACCTCTTCCAGGATTGAGCCACAAAATCCAATAACCATGTTTAGGCCTCGGAACTATAATCCCTTTCCTGTTGACAGACTCTCGGGACACCCCTAAAATCCATTCGGTCTTGGTTCCCACCTCCACCTCCCAGTAATGTCTCCCTGATGTGAATCCCTCTGATCCCAGCACACAGAGCCATGAATCAAATCTCTCCGGGGATTCAGGGAGCGGCAGAGTTTCGTCTCCGAGTCTCACACTGGTCCGGTCCTCAGACAGGATGAGGCGGGGATTCGCTGTGCTCGGATCCAGGGTCAGAGGGGCTGGAGCTGGGACAAATTTAAAAATAGCAGAGTCAGTGATTTAGAGGGAAAGAGGCGAGGTGACCTGCAAAGTTAGAGTGCACCCTGAAGTCAGAAAAATGAGAGGCAGAAATTGGTAAGGGGAAGGCGATGTAGAACATGCGTATGGCGGCAAGAAAGGTTTGAGATAAGAGAGCAAAGGAATGGGGAAGGCAGTGACGAGTCAGGGAGAGTGGAAGGGAAGAGGAAGAAGCAGCGTGGCAGGGAGGAAGAGAGGGAGCGACAAAGCGGAAGGTAGTGATGGGGTGAGTTTGAAAGGGATTTGAGAATGGCTGAAAACACCAATAATGTACTGGCTAGAGACCGAAAGCTCTGAATTTCATTTAAATTTTGACTTTTCGTCCTTTAAACAGTTTTAAATAGGTCGAATTATTAGACTTCAAGTGTATGGAAATATATTTTGTTCTCTTAATGTAGACCAAAATAATATAAAAACATCAAAGTGAGTTAAGTATTTCAGCATTCAATGTATTGATGGAAGCGATGCTTGAATACATCCATGTTATCAACGGAACATCAGCTTGCTGGGCTAAAAACATGCATTTCAGGATAGGTACGCAGAGCATCAGAGGAGCAGGAAAGTTGACATTTCGGGTCGGGACCCTTCTTCAGAAACGTCAACTTTTCTGCTCCTCCGATGCTGCCTGGCCTGCTGAGTTCCTCCAGCTCCACACTGTGTTGTCTCTGACTCCAGCATCTGCAGTTCTTGCTATCCTACGTACGCAGTTTGGTATTTTCACCCACACTGTCATTTCATGAACAAATGTATGCATAGAATCTATTTGAAATGATCGTGACTCCAGACACCAGTGAAAACTAAAATACGACAGAATAGGCACAGCCAATATATTATTAACGTTTGTGCATTTTAGATCATCATAAAATAATACATTGCATCAATAATGAAGGAAAAAAAACAAAAGAACTGCGGATGCTGTAAATCAGGA